GTCAGGCGCTGCCTGCTGGTGAGAACAGATTCTCAGTTGTTTGAAACCGCAGGGGTGGACGTAGGAATACTTGACCGTCAGTATAGGGGGCTGCGGGACACTTGTTCCCAGGTAACCCTGTGCCATCCAGATATTATTCCTAGGGAGTTTATAATCCCAAATGAGAGCATGAAGGTGGCAGGGATTGAGGGGCAGGTAATCTCTCTGCCAGTAGCAGAGGTACCTGTCAACTTTCAAGGCTGGAGGGGAGATTGGCGGCTAGCGATTTCATCGACTCTGCCAGCAGCCGTGCTCGTGGGAAATGACCTGGCTGAACATGTGAAACGGGTGCTAGTGATTACACGCTCACAAGCCACCACAGGGACAGTTCAGGGGGGTAATGATGAGCCAGAGACGGAAGCAGAGGGGAGTTCAGAAGCTGTGGTGGAAACCTTAACCACAGACAGCAGATTTGGACAGGAGCAAAAGGCAGACGCCACTCTCCAAAAGTGTTTTGAACAGGTGACTGACGCCCAGCTAACACCTGAAACCCCAGTGAGATTTCTGGAGAAAAAGGGGATTTTGTATAGAGAGACCCTGAGGAATATCTCAAAAGGGGGAGATGGGATCAGAAGTCAGCTGGTGGTACCTGAAAAGTATCGCCCCATGATCTTACAAAGGGGGCACTCTGACATGTTTGCTGCGCACTTAGGGGTGAACAAAACACAGCAGAGAATCACACAGAATTTTTACTGGCCTGACATAGGGAAGCAGATCAGGGAGTTCTGTAAACAATGTGATGTGTGTCAAAGGCAGGGGAATAGCCGCGACAGGACCAAAGCAAAGTTGTGCCCTTTGCCTGTGATTGACACTCCGTTCAAATGCATAGGGGTGGATATTGTGGGACCTTTGCCCAAGGCCACAAAGAGGGGGAACAGGTTCATTCTCACCATTGTGGACCATGCCACGAGGTACCCTGAAGCCATACCCTTGACTAACATTGAGACTAACACAGTGGCCGATGCTTTGGTGGGGTATATGTCCAGGATGGGATTTGCCTCAGAGCTAATCACAGATTTGGGCGCATCGTTCACATCAAAGCTCATGAAACGCTTATGGCAGATCTGTGGAATTAAGCACAAGGAAACCACTGCCTATCATCCTGAAAGTAATGGGTTAACTGAGAAGTTCAATGGGACTCTAATGCGCATGATTAGGGCTTACTTGGCAGAGAATCCAAACAATTGGGACCAGAAGCTGCAATCCCTTTTGTTTGCTTATCGATCAGTGCCACAAGCCAGTACCGGGTTTAGTCCATTTGAACTTCTATTTGGGAGACGGGTGAAAGGGCCCCTTGATTTGATCAAACAAAATTGGGAGCAGATCACCCAGGATGACCCACTAGACGTTGTGACATACATAGACACCTTGATGAATGACCTAAAGCGAAATCTAGAGCTGGCAGCAGAAAACCTGCAAGCGCAGAAGGTCAAACAGAAAACATGGTATGACCGCAAAGCTAGAGAGAGGCACTTTGACCCAGGGGAGGAAGTGCTTTGGCTTAGGCCCTGCAGAGAGAATAAGCTGCAGCTCAAATGGGCAGGACCATATAGGGTCATTTCCAAGATGTCAGACCTGAACTACCTTATAGAGCAGGAGGAGAACCAAGCAAGGAGGGTGGTTCATGTGAATGCCCTAAAACCCTACTACAGAGGGGAACAGAGGGTTCTATTTGCTATAAAAGCAGCTGAGAGTGAGGAAGCTGAATTACCCTTCTGGGAGGGTAGAGGGGAAGTAAAATACAACCCAGAGGAGGTCAATATCAGTCCTGCACTCACCCAAGACCAGCAGCAAGAATTAAAAATGCTGCTTAGTAAATATCAGCAGGTGTTTTCCAACAAGCCGGGGATAGTGAAGGGAGTGATGCATCGGATCCACACAGGGGATGCACCCCCGCAGGCAGTATCCCCATACCGAGTAACGGGACCCTATAGGGACAAGGTGCGGAAGGAGCTGGACGAGATGCTTAGGGAGAACATAATCGTCCCCTCTTCTAGTCCTTGGTCCTCTCCGATAGTCCTTGTGGACAAGCCTGATGGGAGCATTAGGTTTTGTGTTGATTACAGGAAGTTAAACCGTGTAACCACTCCTGATGCCTACCCAATGCCCAGGCTAGACAACCTGATTGAAACCATAGGGGGTTGTCGGTTCATCTCATCATTGGACCTGGTAAAGGGATATTGGCAATTAAGAATTGATCCCAGGGATCAAGAAAAGACTGCCTTTTGCAGCCCTTTTGGTCTCTATGAGTTTCGAGTCCTGAGCTTTGGTCTCAGAAATGCACCAGCCACATTCCAAAGGCTGATGGACCAGACCTTGGCAGGGCTCAGTGACTTTACAGTGGCCTACATTGACGACATAGGGATCTTCAGTAATACCTGGGAAGATCACCTGATACACCTGGAGTTAGTGCTGCAGAGGTTAAGTGCAGCAGGGCTAACGGTAAAGGCCAGCAAGTGTCAGCTGGGTAGCCCAGAAATAAAATATTTGGGTCACATGGTAGGGGGAGGAGTGATAAAACCCCTGGAGGCCAAAATAGAAGCTGTTCGTGATTGGCCTAGACCCAACACCCAGAAAAAAGTCAAATCATTTCTTGGGTTGGTGGGCTACTACAGAAAGTTCATCCCGAGGTTTAGCGAGATTGCGGCTCCGCTGACCGATCTGACGAGGAAGAAGGCTGATGACCGCATCCCGTGGACCAGCGACTGTGAGGAGGCGTTCCAGAGGTTGAAGGAGGCCCTCATGAACTATCCAGTGCTGCGTGCTCCAGACTTCGACCGGGAGTTCATCATCTACACCGATGTGTCTAACAGCGGGGTAGGAGCAGTTCTTTGCCAGGAGGATGAGAATGGTGACCAGCATCCAGTGTCCTACCTGAGTAGGAAACTTCAAAAAGGTGTGAGACATTTGGCAACCGTGGAGAAGGAGTGCCTGGCCATAGTCTACGCGATCCAGAAGGCCAAGCCTTACATCTGGGGAAGACATTTTGTTCTGTGCACTGACCATTCACCACTGCAATGGTTAAAGACAATGAAAACCCACAATAGTAAACTTATGAGGTGGGCTTTAAACTTGCAAGACTATGACTTTGAAGTGAAGGTTGTCAGAGGGTCAGTGAACTGTGTTGCTGACGCCTTGTCAAGAAGACCTGAAGAATGAAGACGGCGAAAGAAACATGGACTATGTATATATTTTGATGACAAAAAGTCAAATGTGTCTGTTTATTAAACATGTTGGTTTGTATGAATAAAGGTAACTTGATGTATTGTTAATGGTAAATGTTTAAATGCCTAATAGAGTGTAAGTATAAGTAAGTATGGTATTGTATGTTATTATATGACTGTTTTTGTTTGTTTTGGGTCCAGGTTGTTTTTTGGTGAAAAGCACCTTAGCTTTCCCCCTACAAAACAACTTATAAAGAGGGGAGGTGTTACATACAGCACTGATGTTACCTGTCTGTCATGGGTTTGGAGGGAAAGTTCCATCCTATGGGGAGTGGAAGGCGGGACATCAGGAGGAGGGGCTGTACTGTATATATATGAGGAGCTTGTGTGGAGAAGCAGCAGCAGCTGGGAAGAAGAAGCTGGTGTGGGAGTCTGTGTGTCAGACAGGGTACTACTGTGTGTCAGTCAGTACCAACCTGATAGGTTCAGGTGTCTGTAGGGTTAGCCAGAACTGATAGGTTCAGGGTCTGTGCTTTAGTTAAATGCGTTCTGTGTGAACCAAACTAGTGTATGTATGATTGAGACTAAGCCACGTTACTGTATCTTATTCATTTGATCATTTTATTTTCCCTGTGTGTTGTTTAAATAAACCTTATTCCTTTATTTGTTAAAAATCCATCCCTGGTCTGTGTGACTTCTTATAGGGAATGGTTGGTGGCAGCTTAGTGAAACTGTGGCATATCCCAGTAGGTCTGGGTTTGTCACAGCTATGAGTCAGAAACAACTACATAGCACATAATGTGCAGCACACAACTGGGGGTGGGATTGCAGACAGTGATATCAGATAGAAAATTAATGCTGTAATTACTGACAGTAGCAGTTACATAACTAATACTGGGCACATGAACATACGAAACTTTACCTACTTGCTCTGTATTGCCATTAACTCTACATTTTTCATTGTCACATCCTATCCCTTGGCCAACATGGAGCATATTCAAGAAGCAAATACACAATTGCGTTAACTCAAACCTGTGCTTTCCTCCAAGATTTCCATTGCTGAAGCTCTAGTTTATATCTTTCTTTTTTCTTCTCATATTCTTCGCTGCTTTCCTCTAACAATTCAGATATTTCAGCCTGAATTTCTGCCTCATATGCCTTCTCATCCAACTTCTGATCAACCTCTTCCCTTCAAAAACAATTCATGTATTAGAATACTGTATGTCGTGTCAAAACAATTCTTCCTTTCTAAAACAAAAACAGTTGTGACTTCAAAACTTATGTTTTGGAAGGCTTTTGGTCTGATAGTTTCAGCTGTTCTGTTTTCTACTGATTGATTTTATTACTGCTTTATTCAAGATCACAATGTCTTCTAGTTTCTCTGTACATAAACAAACACTTGCTATTTTATTTATATTTTTCTCCTTTTTATTTTAACCGAAATTTTAATTTTAAAAACAATATAAAATATCTTTTCCTAACATGCTAGTTTTCTATGTGGATTGATTGCAAAATTCTATTACTCTGAGGAAGAAATATACCACATTAGCTCCCATCTATGCCATGAAAAAGATTTCCATCTCTGTGACAAATAGGCCTTAAGACATGCCATGCCATGATCAATTGTAAGCATTAAAACAATGCTGCTGTTATTTATGCAACGGAATTTGTTTCAAACATACTTTCTCAAGAGCAACTTCAGGGGTGTGTTACTAAACTTCTGAAAGTCACGCAGGGACTTGATTTCTTTCCATACTTTGATGATAGCCTTAAGCAAGCCTCGATCTTTTTCTTCCTCAATATCACGAAGTCTTCTTGTTTCTCTATAGATATATGCAAACACACACAATTAGTGGGAACAGGAGACTGAATGCATACAATATCTCATTGAACCTTCTGGGCAAATTAAAAAGACATTTTTTAAAAATACAATTTCCAGTTCAGTATTAGCAGGCAACCACTGCAGAGCAACACAGTGTCAATTTGTGTTTAACTCTTTCCCTGTGAGTGACTTGTCCTCTAATAGTAACCCCTCCCCCAGGTACTTTATTCCCATAAGGGAAAAGATATATAGACCTTGCAAACTTTCCTGTTTTGATGGGGTGGGATGGAATAGCTAGCTGGAAAAATGGTTGGTGTTACTATTGTTTCAATCCAATATCCATTCACTTAAAAATACACAAATAAAACAACTCAAGATTTCAAGGGTTTGAAGAATAGACTCTTGTATTTTTATCCTGCACCTCCTATTCCAGTGAGCTCATAACGGCACATGTTGTTCTTTAGTCATTTAGTCATGTCTGACTCTTCATGACCCCATGGACCAGAGCACGCCAGGCCCTCCTGTCTTCCACTGCCTCCCAGAGTTGGGTCAAAGTCATGTTGGCAGCTTTGGTGACACTGTCCAACCATCTCATCCTCTGTCGTCCCCTTTTCCTCTTGCCCTCACACTTTCCCAACATCAGGGTCTCTTCCAGGGAGTCTTCTCTTCTCATAAGATAGCCAAAGTATTGGAGCCTCAGCTTCAGGATCTGTCCTTCCAGTGAGCACTCAGGGTTGATTTCCTTTAGAATGGATAAGTTTGTTCTCCTTTCAGTCCAGGAGACTCTCAAGAGTCTCCTCCAGCACCACAAATGAAAAGCATAAATTCTTCGGCAGCCAGCTTTCTTTATGGTCCAGCTCTCAATTCCGTACATCATAATAATAATAATATAACATAATAATAAACCTTTATTGGCATACAGCAGAAGGAGCCGCAAAATAAATACAGTAAAATACACATACAGGGTTCATGTGCAGAAAAAAACAACGTTGAGCCCCTCATTTTAGAGAGGGCATGTTGCGACGTCTCTGAATAATGGCGTGAACATATCGAGCAGTTGATACAGTAACTTCCTTGTTAGTACCATTTAAAAGATATTGGGTTTTCTTTAGGTCATCCCATCGCGTGTAGGAGGGGGGAAAGACCGACTGGTGGAGCAGGCGGATATCCGTGTACAGAATGCAATGAAATAGCATATGATGCAGAGATTCAGTTTTTCCCTGGCCACATCGACAGGTTCTCAGGTCTGTGGGTAGGCCCAAGTATCTGCCCTGCACTAGATTTGATGGAACTATGTTGCATCTGGCGAGAGTAAATGCCCAGCGCTCTAGTGGCTGTTCAAGGAAATATAGGTAGCTTGGGCTGCGTCCGAGAGTGAGTGAGAGGTGAAGACGAAGTGGAGAGCAGACTTTTTGTGCCGCACTAAACAAAGTTTGCCCTTCAATGTCCAGGACCCTGTTTTTGATGGTTGGAAACACCTTGGAGGGGGGTATAAGGCCCAGAAGGTCGGGAGATAGCCCTAGAGTCTTAACTTTCTTTGTGAATAGGGCCAAGCCATTGGGAAGCAGGCTATCGGCTAGCAACGCTTGCAAAAGGGTGTCCTTGGGAGAGAAAAAACAAATTTTGACCCAGTATTTGAGAAATCTGAGCCAGGCCCTAGTCTCAATTCTGTATTGGCCACCCTCAAGACACAGAGCTGCGTATGGGACACAGTGAGGGAGGCCAAGGATTTTGTATAAAAATACAGATTGTACTCTCTCCACAGAGCTGTGTAGTGAGGACAACCAAATAGGGACACCGTATAGTAGCTGAGCAACTGATTTCGCGTTAAAGATCTGTAAAGCAGCGGGAATAAAGCCATGGCCCCAGGTGTGGTGAAATCGTAGGATGGCTTGGGCTGAGAGTTTGGCTGTCTTGATTGCTGCCCGTTGGTGAGTTAACCAGGAGTGTCGGTGATGGAAAGTAATGCCCAGATACTTAAACTCTCTGACCTGCTGAATGGAATTCCCATGGAATGACCATACGAAGGGTTTCCACGCTTTGCCAAAGACCACAATTTTGGTTTTCTCAAAGTTGAGTTGAAGGTTGTTGTGTGACAGGTATTCAAGGCAGCAAG